AGTCGGCATATAATGTCTAACAACAATCTATTTATGGAATTTCACAATCATCCCCTAAGGCTTATAATGACTAGCTATTTCACGCTCAACATGGTTGAATCCCAGATTATTGCTCTTAATTAAAGCTCTGGGAACTACTCCTACGTTCGATTTCGAGTGACATCGTAGATAAACACTATATAAGTTTCCAAACACTAAACAGTGAGTTTCTAATCTTCATTGGTTATATGAAGGTCAGTCAGTCTATGACACAAACCATAGAATTAATCAATCACCAAGTGTATATTCTGGATGTTAACATCAAATAATTTGCAAACAAAAAAATCTTTGATAATCGTATCCACTCGACGAGTATTATATATATATATATATATATATATATATATATATATATATATATATATATATATATATATATATATTGGTGTAGAGCCATGAGTCAGTTATCTACAACGTAGGACCGGGCACATACACGCATCAGTCCAAGTTGCCACACTTCATTAGCACAACAAGATGAACACCAAATCCATAGAAGTGGTTAATCTAATGGTGGTAGTATATAAAAGAAAGATTGCATATAAGGATATAATACAGGAAGTAAGAAGTAGTTCGTAGAAAGATATGAAGTGATTTTAATCTCTTAGTTTAAAGGAAGACAAATAGTGTATACACCTACGCCATTGTGATCGATTCTGAGCCATGTCACGAAGTCTCAAACCATTGGTTACTGTAGTCACATGGACCCCAACCAAGTAGCTCGCATCTACCAACATGGCTTAGACCAGAAGTTAGTGACTTCAAGGACTGATGCCACGTTTTGGTTTGGCTGTCCTTAACTTTCCTCCAACCATCCCTAACACTGGTTAGCATTGTGATTCGTGGTAATGGGTATTCAGGCATACGTAACATGTAGCCCAACCATCTCAGTCAATGAAGATTCATAACCTCATCAACTGATTTACCATCATTCCTTAATACCCTGCGTCTAACCTCAGTATTACTTACTCGTTGAACTATGAAGAAAAACTAATTGAAAAGAAATTTCTTCGCTCGATTTGTTCCTTCTTTGATAATCCGATTATTATCCCTTTAGAATATTTCGACAAAACTATACAGATATAAGTTCGAATCATTAACAAATAAATGAAGTATTTTCTGCACCATAAGATATAATACACTGAATCAATTTAATATATATATATATATATATATTCTCATCATTTATAAATAATACACCAATTATCAATAACATGACCTAGTAACAAAATTCAACCCCAATCAACAACAACAAAACTCAATTGAACTATACATGATACAATTCTATCATGACATATTTTCATTGAGATTCATTCATACCGATTATTATCACTTTTTTTTTGGCATCAAATTAACCACGTATTACATACATGCAACATATACAATTTAGGCACATATATGGTGTACAAATGATCGAAAATTAATAAATAAATAAATGAAAGATTAAATTAACATCTGAGAGAGAACAAAAAAAAAACAAAAAAAAATAATAATAATAACAAACCCAATTGTATAGTGAATTAGTTAACAAAATCAATTTTACTATTTTATTTATAAAATAAAGTGAATATGAATAAAAGAGAGAAGAGAGAAAAACAAAAAATCGATTTCAATAAGATTTTTTTTGGATACAATTATGAAAGATTGAATAGTACTACTGATAATAAACTCAGTCAATAAGTAGTGTATTATTTTGTTAGATCAATGAAATTGTTTAAAAGATTTTTTTCACTTAAAAAAATGGATGTTTTAAACTTTTTTTAAAAAACAAAAACGGAGGGGGGGGAGGGAATATTTTCAATTCATAATTTTTATTTAGAAAAAAAAAGAAAGAAAACTGTAATTAGGTGTTACATAATTCAGCAATGAATGATATTTAGACTTTATCTAAAAAAAGACGGATTAACACCTATCTACCCACCCACCACCTATTCAAATCCGTATTCATTGATAAGTTGGAATGTATAGTGAAGTATTAAGACAAACAAACAAACAAACAAAAACACCACCACCCCCACAAACAAACAGAAAGTGTATTTGGTAGAAATGAAATACGCGTATAATTATTTCCAGTTTAACATTTTACACACACACACACACACAGAAAAGAACCGGATTTTTCTCTGATTGTTATTATAAATTAAACAGGATAAGTATGTTTTATTATATAAGTAAGAATAAGAATTATAGAAAGAAAAAAGGAAAACATAACAAAATCTATATGAATAACAATTGAAGTAAACAAGGACACAAATGTGTGTGTGTGTGTGTAGAAAAACAAAGAACATACAATTCAGAAATATAAAACAGATATATATATATATATATATATATATATATATATATAAATGAAAATTACACATAAGTTTCATTGAGCAATTAAAAAGAAAGTTATCCAATTACAAAGGGATTATGTAATATGAATTCAATGTAATTGATAAAATATTATCATTATTATTATTTGTATACTTTGAAAGAAATGGATTATAGTATTACTTTCTAGGTACTACTGTGGCTATAACAATGATGATTATAATTACCACAACGGCACAACAAACTCCAATGATGATGAATTTTTTCTATACGATATATTATAATCCATTGGGAATAGGTGGAAAAAAAGATGAAGTGTAACATGCATACGTATATAGAGACACATACATAGATACATATATATTTGACAAAATTATGTATACAAATATACACAGTTGGCAAGATGATGTTGATGAGGATGATCAGAGAGTAAGACGTGCAAAAAAAGAGAAACGAAAAAAAGAAATATTATTAGTGTTATTGAATGGAACATTTTATTCTTCCAATAAAAACAGTCAGAAAAAAACACATTGAATAGCATAGAAAAGTGAATAGAACTATGAAATTTAGGCTAAAACAAAATCAGCACTGTAAATTTAGATGGCCGAGTTTGGGAAGAGGACTTAGCGGCTCATAAATATATTGACAATTTTAGTTCTAGTAGTGACATTGTACGACTATCATCCAATGCCATGGCTATCAATAAGTAACTGTTTACTTAATCAAGTGATACACTCAACAGATTGTTAGTTGATATCTGACCTTCGCAAAATTTATTATCCATTAGCTTTTAGCCAATTATATCTTATCATCTAACCTATCCTTGAAGTACACAAAAGTCTTCATATACCCACATTGTGTTTTGGATTATTAAAAAAAAAACATACAAACTTATTGTTAGCGTATTAGTGAGTCAGGAACAGCAAGAAAGAGCACACAATAATGCAAAATGAGTGTATATAGTATGTCAGTTGTGATAGATGAAACAGTCAGATGAAATGTCAGATGAAATTATTATATGCTTAAAATTCATACTACTTACCCACAGGTGAACATAGACTACCGAATATTTCAGAGTTAACTCATAACTGAAACCATAGTGAAGAAATCTAATCATAGTGTACACTTGAGAGCACTTTTACCTAACAATTATAGACTAATTTGAATACTATATACAGACATGGAGGAAAGACAGCTTTTACTGAAAAACATATACACAATCAAATGTGGACTATTGTGTGTTTGGTGTATTGTGCAGTGTTTACTCTATTCGATTGTCAAATGACTTATTATTAGTTATTCTGTTGATGAAGTATTTTGACTATTTCGTATAATGTTTAAACATATAATAAAAATATTCTAATGACAAATTGACTAGTAAGTCAATTATCTGAAGACTATATTCATCATAGATTGATCACAATTAAAGTATTATTAAAAATTAGAAAGTATTTGACGAATGATTTGCCCTAGTATAGTAACCCCCAACAGCAGGTACTCACGATCCTGCCAATAATCCGACCCATGAGATTGATGTTTTATGAAAAGCTTATAACGATTAGGTTTTAAATTTGATCCCTAGTGGGTTCATCGGTGCGCACTGTTGAGGTATCTTACACTGGGGTTTAAGAACTGTCCACTACTGCCTTAACTGATAACGAACACAACCTAAAATTCGTAGATATATCGAACAAAGTAAAAACCACATGATATTTCAACTATAACATGAAGCACACCAAAACTGATAAGAATTTAGAATACATATGAATTGAAGATGAAAGCATCCGAGTTTATGGTTGATGTCACTTACCTTTTATATATGTATGAATATAGGCAAACATATGAAATTTTATTATACTTTTCATAACATCTGTTTTCACACACTAAACATTTTTTCCCTTTAGTCTGAATAATCAAGTATTAAGCATTGAAATACTTTGGGTATAGGCCAAGTAAGATGATTGTAGTCAGACTTGTCCAACTGTTCAATGATATAAAATATACAAGTATATCTTACAATATTAAATTAATTCCTTACCTAAGTAACTAACAATCATTCTGATTAAGACATTCTGTTCAGATTCAAGAGTCAGTTCAGTGAGTAAATTATCAGTTAGGTTATCTGAGGTATCATCCTATTTATTCCTAGAATATCAATTGTACAGTCAAAATGATTTTTGTTTAAATGTTAAGCAGTTTAGTCTTTTCAAGATAAGTAATCTTAAAGCATGATTATGATAATGTTGTATTAGAGTAAAGAATTGAACAGTATTAACATTGATATATGCACTTTATGTTCATGTATAGATTCTGTTCTCAACACATTTCGATGATAATGAGATAGATGTGATAAGGGGACAAAAAGAAATACAACTAGGAAAACACAAAAACAAACAATTGACAATGACAACAATGAAAGTGATAAAAACTTAACATTTATATGACCAGATAAACATATGATATTAAAAGATATGAACAGGATTATATTAGAAAACAAAACACATGAATAACGAACCCCCCAAATCCATCTTTATATATAGATATATAAAGAGCATGCAAGTATTTTATTGTATTCCAACAATACCCAATCAAATAAGACACATATACACAAAAAAACACTAAACAAAACAATGAACACTAACATTATGTAACTAAAAGATCTGTAAAGAATTAAAACAACAATAATAATAATGACAACAGAAAATCAATGATAACGTTTCATTTATCATTGTCAATAACTGAACAAATGACTGATTGACTGTACAGAAACATAATGAAATTATAAATGTGTTATATCCCGATAAAAATAATAAATGGTAACTTTTGGGATCCATTCATGGACCAATACTATGAGTATATTTTTATCGTATAATTATTATGTAACTAAACAGTTCATATTCATGTCGCTCTTATTATAAGCTTTAATTTGACCCATAGACTAGTATTATACGATTTACCATTCATGAGTTATGGCCTGTCTATTAATTACTATCTCCCTCATTCACAGCCACATTTGGCTAATTCTTGTACAAATGTTGTTTCATACTTTATGGTACGTTGTGGTCTGTCTGGTTGATATATAAACCCAGTATGCTTGAAATAAATGATTTAGATTACAGAGGCTGAGAGTGGTGTTCTGGCTGGGCTAGACAGGAAGCAGGGCTAATCAGGACTCTAGGTTGTTCGCACGGGTTTTATGCGTCGCTGGTTCGATCATTAATTTCGCTGCTCTCTGATTGGCGGTGTCGTTGCGTTATACAATAACAGGGCACACAGGTTCACAAGTTATAACAAAATGAGAAAAACAAAAGAAGAAATATCGATATATTCAGTTTAAGTAATTAACAAACATATATCATTGCCCAATAATAAGTGCAGGTTTTTTTAAATTATGGTTTGACTTGGATCGGATCATGATTTGAATAATTTGTAACAGAATTTAAGTAGTATTGGAGTTTAGGATTGTGTTTCATTCTATCTAGGACTTGTCAGTTGGATGTATTTACATCTCAATATAGGTGTTCACATAGGGACTCGAACCTTAGTGTGCTTTACGTCCCAGATACCTAACATGTTCGCTCGGCTATAGTAATTATAGTAACATAACTAACTATAGTAACTAAATTGTTCAAGATGTAAAATTTTAATATTATTCTCTGGAAAGGGTATATACAGATCAGTAAAGACTGATGAAAATTCAGTCCTCTAATATAAGAAAAAAACGAGATAAGTGAAACTTCTTTCAATAATGACTTAAGATTAATTTGACTCAGTACAAAGAATAATTTAAAGAAGATAAATAGATGAAGATTTATTATATATTAAATATAAAGCAAATTTTTGTTTAAATACTCTACTTACAAAATATAAATTTACATTGATATAATAGTTAACTTTTGAATACATTCAACTATGCAATCCTTTGCCATTATATGAACTTAATTTACAAATATCGTATGATGTAAATTCTATAATTCATATGTATAGAATAAATGACTAATTGACTCATATGTTCAATTCTATTCAAAAATCATGTAATTAATTGATTATGTAATGACTGTCTATTATCGACACATAATAGATAGAAGAACGATTGATACTCATATTTGATTGATTATTGGGTGGTGATCAATGTCATGTGTGTCAAGTCCATCTTGGCGCAGATCGAATGCTATCGATCAAGTTGCAATGTGGTTACTAGTCTAAGTGACTCGACATTGCCCAGTGGTAATGTCTCTGACTGTGAAGCTTGCGTGAAACGGGATCGAATCCGTCAGGGAGCACCAGTTCCCTCAAGATTACAGGTACACTTTGCTGACGAGTGCCAAGTAGCACGAAACCCGGGTGCAGGGTTTCCTGTTGACTACCTCAAACCACCATCTTATCTCAACGATTGATACTAATTGACTACTTTTATTTATTTGTGTAATTGAAAAGCGATATCAAGAAAATAGTTGATTGATATTTAGGTCCTAAAATCTACTTGCATACTTAACCAACTGAAGTAAGAATATTAAATTTGAAATGAAGATCTTTTCATCAATAAAGTACTGAATAAAAGAGACATTCTACATGAATGGATAATGACTACTGAACTTAATGATAACAGTGATGAAAAACTTGATAAAAATATTCATAAAGCAACACTGATTATTTTAAGTATAGATCGAAAAGGGAGTAAAAAATGTGACCGGTTGGTTGAGATATATATATATTAAAATGACGTTTCAAATGTAGACTATTGGCTGCCAACTGGACGGTCTAGTGGTTAAGCAGTCGCCATGGTACCTAAGTTCGAAACCCCGTGGGGTGGTGGATGAAAACTGGCAAGGATTTCTACACAAGGACGAAACAAATGTCCGGTACCTACTGTTTTCTTATCCTTGTGTAACTAATGCCAGTTTGTGATATAATCCATGAATCATTTTGATTAAAATTTAAAGATATCAAGCAATTGCGAATAGTTATACCATTATGCAGTTTACAGGCCCAATACTCTACTCAGTGGGTTATAAAACAAGGTTTTGGATCTGATTGTTATCGATCAGGTTACTAATGATACTGAAAGTTCTTTCATAAGTTAAAGATACCACTAAAGTTCAAGTTTTGTACAACGTCAACTGTCACTCCGGTATTATAAATCGATATTCTAAACAACTTGGAATAAAACAACAATCACACAGACTGAGTTCTTTGGAAAGTTATTATTATCAGATTTCCGATTACAAGAATACTGAAGAATACATTTTTAATTTAACAACAAACTGTGCACTGAAATCATATTTGGGGAAAAAAGCTTCATTTATTACAATTCCGATAAAATGAACTACATCTGTTAGCCATTTCTGATTATTCACGATTGTTAATGAGGTGTGGCAACTTGAACCGATGCATAAATATGCTTGGTCCTACGTTGTAGCCGACAGACTGAGGATTTATGATTGTAGCGAGCTCTATTAAAGAGTCGTTTTAGTCAAGTAGGAGTATTTGTGTGTTTATAATAATAATAACAGAAAAAAAAAGAACAATGTTCTCAATAATATAGTAACGTTTTTAAGCAGATCTAAATAATGAATTACATATTTTGTAACTGGATTTTGATACAATTATTCAACTAATCTGTTAATTCTTGAACTTATGCAGTGGAAATAGGTTATATATTTCATAAATTATGTTACTTGTTTATTTAACTGGTTTACCAGGTACACAATTATGTACTTGGCTTCAAACTGTACTGTGGTGTATGCTACTTATATTGACAGATATAAGTAGTATGCAACATCAATCAGAAGTGAAATGACTGGCAGGAGAAAATTTAGAAGACCGATTTGAAGAGAACAGAAATATAAATAGTGAGTAATTTTTATAATAACAGGAAGAAAGAAACGATGAATTTTGTAAGAGACAATTGATGAAAGATGTATAAATGAAGTATTTAATGTATCGCTTTCATATTTTAGGAAAACATTTTGTAATTTTGTGTAAAACAATAAATTGGTCTTCTATACTCGACTTCTTCGTTCTTTACAATACTATCCGATCACCAGTACAGAAATAGATAAGGACAGATTCGAACCTGAGACTAAGTGGTTGAAATTCGAAAGTCTTAAACATTGAGTTTCAAGATAAAATGTAATTCAGTAAATATTTGTAAATGTTTTCATTGATTGCAACAGACAGTAGTGAAAATAACGAATGCAAAGTGGAAAAGGGTGAACTTAGTGTAAATAAATATAACCCTAAATAATTTGCTCCGAATTATACATCGATATTAATGGATGGTAGTTCAATACTGCAACACATAGTGGTTGAATGTCGACCTGCTATAACTACTGAGTCGTCATAGTGTCAAACAGGAAAATTTCGTCAACTGTAAAAGTTGAATATTTAAACCATCATACAAATCTGTGGCTAATAATGTAAATGAAGAGTTTAAGAATAACAAGTGAGTAATCTTTTACAATTATAACTCTAGCAATTAATACTTAGTGAATTAAAAATAAGATGAAAATATATGAACTGTGATAATCGGTAAAGGAATATTTCACTGACGAACGACTTAAGAGGGCGTTTGTTGGGTTGTTGTGAGCGATTCATAACGTAATGACGGATAACCTACCAATATACTATTTAATAAGACGTTTAAAATTGATTACATGCGAAGAATAAAATATGGAAACCAAAATTTGCGGCTTTTCATAGATAGCTTAAAGGTCTTTGATAGATAAAATCAAAGTGCAGTGAACAGAACACAGGTGGGGACAATCGAATGTATTTAACACAAAATTACAGGACTTGTTAATAAAATCTAACAATCATAAAGTAAATGCTTAATTTGCGAAATGTGCATCAATTGTCTCATAATGATTCAGACTTCATTGTTCTTGCATTTTCATACAAATTGCATTCTGTTTCGATTCTTTACTGTTCGACCCTCCTGTCTCTCTGCTGTCAGACCTTCTGTTCATGACTAACATGATATACTACTTATTTCGATATAAGTAGCACACCCCACAAAAGAACTAATTGTATAAATATTTATCCGTATGACTATAAAGCATTCTTCATTTAATTCATAAACATTACTTCGAACTCTTAACCACTGTTGCTTACCTTAACTTTAAATCTTGATATTAATTCAAACTCCTAACTATTTCTTAAGGATATTATGCAATAAACTATTCACGTATAACGTTTGCATTCTAATTAGTTAAATATTGATTTAGCTTTCTCAAAGCCAATTCAACAATTATTAAAGGGATAATTTCATCCATCATTCTTTCGAATGGATTATATTAAATGTTAAATAAAAACTTAGTAAAACATTCTAACCTTTCTAGTTCACACGGTTCCGCTCTGTATTAGCTTAGTGTACGTTCAAAGTTACATGACCGCTTTTTGTAACTATCTATCTACATTGAACTGTTAATTATATGAGAAGGGGTTTTGTGGATAATATAGTAATTTTAATAGTTGAGATCATGAGTCAATTGAAGCCAGACCACCATGGAAAATCTGGAAACACTGGACGACTGTTTTGTTCTACTGCGGGGACTATCTATGGTTTTAAAAATATTTATATTCTTTTATTTTAAAAAAAATACACAGATGGATTGTGATTAACAGTGGAATTGAGGACATTCACTTCATACTGTATGGGAAACTTATCAATTGAATGCACTTATATGTCTGTTGATATTCTGCTCAAATCTACATCTAAATAGAAATGAATGTTTGGACATAGAAACTATTTGGGAGTTTGAATGAACATAAAATTCATGGATTTTTTCTTTTCTATTATACAGTGATACAAAAAAGTTTGTAATGCTACATATACTTCAAGAAAAGTTACGTATGCGATCCGATAGTCAAGTGTAATTTTGAGATGCTACACTATTGAATTATACATATTAAGTACGTGTTGAATAACACTAGCCAACTGTCATCACATAAAAAAGAAAAGACTACGTAGTTGAAACATCAAGATGAATGATTACGACATTCAAATAATTACGTAATAATAGAGTATTAGAATAAAGAGTGATAATTTGATCAAAGAATTTTCGTCAGTATGAATTGGCACTTCAGTCCCAGCTACATAAAAAGTTTTAGGGATTAAGTAAATCATGTTAATTTATAAAAAAATTCCATAATTACTTAGCCATAATGGATTAAACAAACAGTACAATTCATCGCTATTACTAAATAAACTACCATTTTAAGCAGAGTTGAATAGTAAGTAACAGTGGAAGCCAGGATGTGCTGTTCGTCCTATTGCGAACTCATCTGAAATCCGCATAGGATATTCCATAGCCAAGAGAGTGATCACTTGGAGAGTTTAACATCAACAACGGGAATATTGAAATAACCAAAACAAAAAATTCAACTAATTTATTTGTTATTTTTATCCAAATAAATCCAATGATGATATCGTTCATTCAATCATCAAAATCAATCAGGCTATAAAAATAATTTATTATTTGATTATTTTCATGAAAGGAAATCGGTAAAACGATAAGGCAGTGTGAGGGGAGGGACAAACTTACTTTCCGAGATTTTTTCTTGTATACAACTGCCTTTTTAGTTTCCTGTCGAGCCTCAGCAACGTAATCCTGTGTTTGTTTAACGTTGACATCGATTCGATCAACAAGTTCACCCTAAGACATCAATTAATTTGGGTAGAAATTAAGTGATAAACAGCTACATATGTAAATAGTTATTTACGTATATTACGGAACTGAAATGTTAATATAGTTACCAACGTCGCGTTAAAACAGGTTACTTATTGATAGAGAACAATACAAAATATGGGTAATTATGATCTTTGGATTCCGACTGACAATGTTATAACAACGGGAAATGCAAACACATACTAGCCAGTAAATATCGGTTTAATAATTTAATAATAACTGGACTCAGTATGTTAATAAACAATGTGTTGGGTTCTGAATAATAAACACTCGGTTGAAGTCTCAGTGTAAACATTCGAACAAATTTACAACTGGATGATGATTAATAAAGAGGACGGAATCGGTGTCCTAGATTCATCTGCTAATCATGATTTAGATATACTAAAGTCTCACAAACAAATACCAAGACCGACACATCCACTCATATATATATATATATATATAACAAAAAAGTTTAATTAATTGCAAAGCTGATTATCAGCAACGGGAAAACACAAGCTCTTACTAACAAATACGAGTACCGTTTAGATGGAACGCTGATCAATTTCTAGTTTTCTCAATGTGTATTAACTATAGTTATCTATTCACTTCGATTTCTGTAACTAAACATCACAGTTACCAGTGACAACGTTGTTATTAATACATCACTCTTGGAGCATATTTAATGCATTTTCAAAAGAACTCCTAATTGTGTTACCTGGACTGATAACAGTTAGCCAGAGAATGGAAGTTACAAAATAATATCAACAACACTGTATTAACTAAGTCATTTGAGGAGTTTTGAAATTGAATGACACAACATAGTTTGTGTTCTCTGAGCCGACGAATATCTTCGTAAAAGAACAATCCCTTATATCATTTATCGTATTTTCTCACTCAACGACACATTTTGACAAAAACTCACGATCGATATACATAAATATTTCATTAAAGTCAATGAATCAAACTACAATTGGACAGCGATAAAATAGGCCTATATTGGAAAACTTGGCAAACAGTAAACTTTCACGACAAAGTTTGGAAGGTATAGATTATTTTATTATTTATAACTCTTGCCAGATTTTTTTCTTCCTAATCAGCTGGTAAGGTCAGTGATAACCATTATTTATCTCAATTCTAATATCTTGATCAATTTGACTAATGATTATGGTACATAGATTTAATCCATATTTAAATTGATAGAAACCAAAGTAGACTGACTGAAAAATAATACTCATTAAAACAAGTGATAAGTAAATATATCTTGAATAGTCATTTAAAGCAAAATTCTGAAAATCTATCAACTAGTCATTGGAGAACTACTATAACCATCATCAGAAAAGTACAGGTATTTATGAACAATTGTCTACGTAAGATACTCAATGTCCGTTGACCGGATACCATCAGTAACAACCTATTGTGGGAAAGAACAAACCAACTTCTAGATAAAGAAATTAGGAAAAGACGTCGGAAGTGGATAGGACATACATGGAGGAAATCACCGAACTGCATTACGAGGCAAGCGCTAACTTGAAATCCTGAAGGAAAACGGAATAAAAGGAAGACCGAAGAACACACTGCGTCAAAAATTGGAAGCAGACATCGAAAGGATGAATAGCAACTGGAATAGACTGTCCAGGACAGAGTTGGATGAAGATTCCTGATCAGCAACCTATGCTCCTCCACGAAGAGTAACAGGCGTAAGCAAGTAAGTAAGTCATTGACTGTAGTTGGTAAATAGAAAAAAAACTAATTCAGATAATATTGACAACATAATTTTAAGTTAAGATGAATTCTTATTGTATTTTAAAATCTCATAAACTTAAGTTTTAAGTTAAGCTCATTTACTAACAAGACAATTAAATAAAAGCTAGGTTAATTAATATACAATTAACAAACTTGTGTTTCAATCAATGAAGCCATATCGATAAATAAATCGTGTAATTCTCGAATACTCTTTTCTAGTTTCATAATATCTTCATGACGTGCTTCAATATCGGCTAGATTTTGACGAGCTTGTTGAGTATCTGTTATAATCTAAACAAATAATGAAAATATATGAAAAGAACTCTAGTCAATCTGTAACCATTGATCTATTGAAAATATACATGATAAGTGAATAAGTACATGTACACTGCAAAAAAAGCGAATCGATATTGCAACAATTACAGAAGGGTATTGAAGAAAATGTTCACAACAATGAAATTGAATATTGTATTTTGCAATCGCTTAATAATTAAAGCTGAAAACAAAGACAGATCGACTGGATTCGTCACAGTTACATGGAGTATATAATTTGGAAAGTTTGTTATCCGATCTCCTAAACATAATCTGGTCGGGTTGAATACAAAGAGTAAATAAAGGACAACAGTAAGAGCTCTATTCCTTTTTACTTGAATAAAATTGGACACATACATTCACGAGGGTTTGAATTAAGCTTCATAAGTTATCTGCTGTGTTCCATTATATATATACGAAGGTCTACGTGTCCGTTATTTGGATTACCATTCATATCCATAAACCAGATGTTTGCGTTCAAAAGAAATGCATACAACTACGCTCCATTCATTAGTCACCAACATAAGCGAACCAAAGCAAAATATTTATTCTTTTCTTTCCTTTAAATTACCTGTACATTTTGTATTATTGTGCAATGCTAATATTCCTCTCTTTTCTCTTACGTAACTGTTGTTGATATTTGATATGTTATGAAAAATACTTTGTCAATTCTATTACAAGATACTGTGTAGTCTGTTGACAGTTGAACTACATGTCACAATTCATTTTAAAATATTTACCCTATCAAACGTCTTTTTGCTACTTGACTGGTCAATCGACTTCCTTTTCATAATCAGTTGTCCAAGTTGTGATATTATTGTGTAACAATGCCAAGTGGGTAGTGTTATACTAATAAAGTGAAGTATATGAATTACTTACAATACATCTGTGTACACTATTAGGTTTTATAGCTCATATCATGGACTGATATTATATTAGCGTCCACTGACAACCAAGCAGCACTTCACAACTGTTTCGCCCCAGTAGGGGACTCCTCAGAAGTTTTCATTGACGATAGTTGTGGGAAATAATGAGTTGATTGAAGTTGGAAATATAAACCACTGGATGTTGGCTAGAGTTTAAGCGCTTACACAAAGACCCGTAGGTCCTGGTCCACCCTTGGTCCTGGATGAACACTGCTGAGCAGCCCTATATTAGGACGAAACAGTTGTTCATTGCTTCCTCCTTCTCAATGGTCGTTTAACTAAGATAATTTCGCGTAACGGAGTATAAATTACTTTAAAGACATGACGAAAAACTAACTGGAAAATTATGTTTCGAACTAAGAAGTACTGCTTTTCAATTAGATCCTTGCGAAAGCTCTACATTTATATATATATATATATATATATATATATATATATATATATATATATATATATATAATACCCATAGGAAAATAAAACAGCTTTCATGAAAATAAAAGAACGTCATAGTAACCAGTCAAACAATTGTTATTATCTTTTTTAATCAAATAATCTGCTATACGTAAGTATTGTAATAATTTAGTCAAACCAGGAAGTGTTAGTCTCAGAGTATCTATCATTTATTCTGTTTTATAGATAAATTAGTGAATTACGATTAGACGAGAATAAGAAAGCATTTAAATGAGAACTATTGCTAGGTTTCTTTGCCAAAAATAACGTCATTTTTTATGGACGAGTTGATTTATAAACAGTGGTTTTTTTTCCCTAGAATTGATTGGATTTTGGCTGGTAGTGGGATTCTGGATGTGTGTTTTGTCCTATTCGAGACTCGTTGACCGGAATTACCTGCATAACTGTGTTAATGTTTAAACAGTGACCTAACCCTAAATAACGTTGATTTAATGTATGAATTGATATGAGGTGATAGTGATTACATAAAGTTGATCTTTTTACAGTTAGTACTTAACTAAATGAATGACTAGGCATGTATAAATGGTTGATATGTTTCCCCCAGATAATTTGATACATGATTAATTTCGATCAAGTATCTAGGATAATATGGAATCAAATTTTCAGACTTCATTCACATGATAAGAGATTTACAGTAGATTTTAATTACGACTCCTGCTGAGAGGCCATACAACTACATGGAGATCGGTCTATAGAATTAATTGAAAATAGGGTTAAAAAAGCCGACAGTTTTACCAAATAAGTATTTATGTATTCCGTTTTAAACCACATGAGTTATGTGACCATTAGTGATACTAACAGGTCTCGCAAACTGAATTAGGTGAAAAGGCTTCTAAAAAGCCAACTATTGGTTGAGAGGAATGATAAGGTTAATTTCAATGTGACCTAAGAGAATGGTTTGCGACCTACTAGTCGAAGTTGACTGGCTATACTACTACGTTACCGCTATACAAAATTTTTATCTATTACAATTTATAAATATAATTATATTTAACGAGATAAAACAGATAATAGAGATGTAGCTAGGTTACTAGTGAAGTGGTAGATCAGTGTGGTAAAAGTACTTTACCTATTATAAACTTTTAAGTATTCTATGAAGAAAATATAATGAGGTGTATAATCCAGAAAAGTACTTACTCCTTGAGTAAAAATCTGTGGATTTCCAGATTCAAGCATATTTTCCAGTTCATTATCTGTAACTGACCGTTGAGCTATTTAAAAAGGAGAAGAAAAACAAAAGTACATTATTCTAACCACAACATAGTGAGGGGAACTACCTAAAGTTCTTATTATTAAAGCAACACTCATTCAGTCAGTCAGTCAACAACGTAGAACTTCGTATGTACATACATCAGTTCGAGTTGCCATACCACATTAGTACAGAGATACAATTATCAATTCAACTCCCGTAGTGGTAGAGGTAGTAGAAGTATAAGAAGTAATCGAAAAGTTTTGGGGTTTGAAGATGTTATTAAAATAGCATAATCCAGTGAAATAAATTTGGAAAGAGGGAAAAAGGGACATGATGAATTCAGAAAATTAGAATTTGAGAGAACACAAAGAGTGAATGCACCTGCTCGATTGCAAACGATTTCGAGCCATGTCATCTAATGTCTCTAACCATCGGCTGCTATCATCTCACAGATCCCAACCACGTAGTCTACACCTACTAACAGTCCACTTGTCAGTGACTTCATGGATTTGTGCCATGATTTGGTCTGGCCGTTCCTAGTTTTCTTCCATCCTACTACTACACCTCGTGGCAATCAGTGGTTGGGCATACGTAACACGTGTCCCAGCCATCTCAACTGATGAAGTTTCACTACGTCATCAATTGATTTGCCATCCTTACCTAGTACCCGTTTCCTAACAACTGCATTACTTACTCGATGGTTCCAGGATATACGAGCAATGCTCCGAAGACATCTATGATAGAATACTAATAACCTACGAATATCTTCTACTCTTACCGTCCATTTTTCACTCCCATAAAGTAGGATGGAACGAACTGCTGTGCAGTAAACCCATCCTTTGGTTGGTAGTCAGATGCCATACTCATTACAATAAAGATAATTGAATCAGAATTATAAGCAATAGTAAAATTTAGATGCTTGTGTTAAAACAGTATTATTTAACTAATGATTTAATTGAACGGTATGTAGATATGGTGTAATTTCTCATTTTAATAAAACATCAATATTTTAACAATGATGAAGTTAGATATTTGAGAAGCGTATGATTGCTTTGTTTAATGAGACTACTTTAAAAAGAAGGTGTATTTGACGCCTCCGGACAAAATATTATTCATCTATGAAATAGTTGAACAAAATAAAGGTTATTATGGAAGTAATATAAATTTCACGATTAAATTACAACTTTTTAAAGGTTTATATTTTATCATTCTAGAGGATTTGTGGAGATAGTAGTGTTTTAGAGGTTGAATTCACGAGTCAATCTAAGCTAGACCACCGATGAAAAATTAGAAGCACTGGACAGACGTTTCGTCCTTGTATGGGACTCCTTAGCAGTGCGCATCCATTCCGTGTCAGGTGTAAGACAGTTATCCACTTCAGACATGAAGAGTTGTGCAAGATCGTGAACTTATCGGAGTTAGAAATTAACACCGTCAGATCTCGACTCACTCGTCTAGAGGTTAAGCAATCGCGCGGGAGGCCGAAGGTCCCAGGTTCGAGTCCTGCGCGCGAGATTGTAGATGCGCATTGCTGAGAAATCTCATACTAGGACTAAACGACCATCCAGTGCTTCCAGATTTTCAATAGTGGTATAACTTTATTTTCTTTTTCTTGATATTCTAAAACTAACATGAAAATAACAAAGAAATACTTCCTATTTTATGTTTTCTATTTTTAACAGATAGTAAGATAATTTCTTATTTTATTATTGAGCACAGTATGATTGACTGATAACATTAAAACAATGAAATCATTTAGAATTTAAATAATGAGAATGACAGTATTGTATACGTAAAATTAAAAGTAACAGATCAGTGATCTTTTGTTTTTATTCATACGACTGACAAAATCATGATCGTATTCCATCAAGACATCTATAACTAGCTTTTATCTTCATTGCGAAAGAATCTATACTAATTACATTCTTTTTTAATGATAACAAATTTTACATCATAGCGTGAATTTTCAAAGTTAAACACGAGTTCATTTTACCTACCTAAATTGTTAATATTCACTACGTATTACACATACCCAACCACCGACTATCACGGCGCGTAATGCTGACTAGTATTGGAGACGGCAGAAAGAAAGTTAGGGGTTGACAAATCAAGATGTGACATCAGTCACTAACTTCTTGTCTAAACCATGTTGGTAGATGAAAACTACTTGGCTGAGGTTCGCGCGACTATCGTAACCAATGGTTGGAGACCATGGGTGACACGGCTGAGAATCGAACACAATGGCGTAGGTGTATACACTCTTCGCCTTCCCTTAAACGGTGAAATTAAATAACTTTGTACCGTTTCTTCTATGAACTAATTCTTTCTCCCCGTATCATATACTTATATGCAATCTCTTCTTTGTATAATACGACTATTGAAGTGACTACTTCTATGAATTTGGTGTTCATCTTTTTGCGCTAATTAAGTATGACAACTTGAGCCGATGCCTATATGTGCCTGGTCCTACGTTATAAATAACTGACTACAATAATAATGATAACAGTAATGATAATATTAATTATAACTTACCAAGATTAATAAGTTTTCTACTTAATACTTTCAAAGTCAAAGTTCAATTGATTTTATTTTATGTGAATAACTTGAAAAAGAAACTCTGAATTTGAACTTGGTTTTGATCATTGTCACAGTTCCAAGAAAGTTATTTCTTAATCACTTCTTTACCTACTATTACTTACTTACGCCTGTTACTCCCAACGGAGCATCGGTGACCGACCAGCATTCTCCAACCCACTCTATCCTTGGCCTTCCTTTATAGTTCTATCCAATGCTTGTTCATTCTTCTCATGTTTGTCTCCATTTCTCGGGGTAATGTGTTCTTTGGTCTTCCTCTCCTTCTCTGGCATTGAGGATTCCATGTAAGGGCTTGCCTTGTGATGCAGTTGGGTGCTTTACTCAATGTGTGTCCTATCCACTTCCAGCGCTTCTTCTTCATTCCTTCCTTCAATGGGATTTCGTGTAATCTCTCCCACAGTAGGTTATTGTTGATAGTCTTTACTTCAAACGAGTCCGTGGGCTGTCCTCCATATACGATTTTGCAGTTTAATCCGTCGTATGATATTGACTATCTTCTCAGGTACACTATAGTGTCGAAAAAGCCTCCATAGTATTGTCCTGTCCACGCTATCAAATGTTTTCACGTAGTCAATGAATTTGATGTAGAGTGATGAATTCCATTCAGTTGATTATTTCACAATGATCCGTAGTGTTGCGATTTGGTCGGTACACGATCGATCCTTACGGAATCCAGCCTGTTGATCTTGAAGTTGGACGTCTATGGAGTCTTTCCTTCTGTTTAACAACATCATGTTGAAGACTTTTCCTGGTATTGAGAGAAGAGTGATGCCTCTGTAGTTCTCACACTTACTGGGATCGCCTTTCTTTGGTATCTTGATGAGGCGTGCTCTTTTCCAGTCTGTTGGTAATTGTTCTTCATCCCAAATCTTGCTGAAGAGAATGTGGAGTATCTTCGCAGTTATTGCTACATCTGCTTTCAGTGCCTTTGCTGGAATGTTGTCTGATCCCGCTGCTTTGCCGCTCTTGATATGTCTGATGGCCATGCTGGTCTCTTCAATTGTTGGTGGGACAACATCGATTGGTAGGCCCGTGGTGCTGCTAGTCAATTCAGGAGTTCTTTGAAGTGCTCTACCCACCTACCTACTATTAACACTCTAGATTGAGAAGTACTGTTAACTCATTCACTTTAATAATCACTTTGACGTAATTCATAAGTTATGAAACTAAATGAATACACAAATTTATGAAGGTGAGAGAGAGAGGATAGTTTGATGTTAATCAATCATAATACAACTAGGAATACTGAACCATCTACATACATAAATGATCATCAATCATATGATACTATCTTGAATTATGTAAGTGTTACTACATTGAAATTATTGACTGACGGTTTAATTAACTTTCATATGATTGTTACCATTTATAATAAAAAGCCAATTGTGACAAAAGAAAACAAATGTTTATAACGTAAACAAAAATGACGAAAATATTGTTTATAGAAACTTGTCATATGAAGTTAAGTATTATTTGTTGTTGTTATTTTTCTTCTTTCTTAAATTGTAATATAAGATTAAGAAATAGTTTCTGTGAGAAACAAAACGTATATAATTCGGAAACACCAAATTGAATAAATATGGTGTTACTGTAAACAACATAATACACCCTTTGTAAACAAACAAACAAACATTAGTTTTCGATAGCACACTAGTTATGTCAGCAAATGTGAAGAATAATCGGGAGGTTAGGCAACTTTCAAATAACCTTGAGAGATTTTTAATCCCATAGAATTAATCAGAAGACAGTAGATGTAAATGAATGATCTTGTTATACAAAGGGAAGGAATCTAAAGCGAATATATAATAATTTTAGATCATTATTAAGTTTTGTAAGTTGACTGTGGGTTAATATGTCAGGAAATTAGAAAACATTCAGTATTGACATTTATCCACATCACTCCTAAACAACCTTGAGAATAGACTCCACACTCACTGAACAAGCGTTCGATAGTGTCTAACTTCAACCTATCCATGACATTCTATGACCATCTTTCATCATTTTTGTTGGCCAACTTCCTCACACCCGGCACAGTTTAGCTTTACCCTATACTGACAATTATCATGTGCTCATTAAAAACTATCTTCCAGAGGAAATATCTGGAGTTCTAGTGAGAACCCGTGACCAGTTGAGTTAATTCGTGGTGGGTATGAGGCAGTTACTCACCGAAGACAATGGATGATGGTCGAACAATGTCATGAATCGACTGAAGTTAGACATTAACACCATTGGATGCTGGCTTAGTGGTCTAGAATTTGTGACCACACATGAGACCAGGAGTTATGGATTCAATTCCCTGTGACGAAGTCGTGCATTCACACTGTGGAGGAGTCTTACACCAAGGCGAAAAATATCCGTCCAATGGCTTATGTTTCCTGATGGTGGTTCAACTTAAATCGGTTCATGATTTCAATGAAATTTAACATCTCTACAACACCGTACTGACAATTATCTCACTGTTTACGATGAAAACAATGTAAAATATCTATGCTGCTTTCTATTAGCCGGTGTAAATAAATGTTTACATGCGTGTATTTTAAGGCAATGATGAGTTAAGAATAATACTAATTTACATAAAATAAATCATCTTTATCGGTTTATTTATATATCATGCATAAACATAACAGGCTCACCAACTTCTAATTGACGTTTCAACAAAGCTTTACAACGTTCTTTATGCTCAATCTGTATACGACCATATTGATGCATAATAGTTGTGATAGTTTTAGACAAGGTGAGAAACTGAATGGGACATGAAAAAAGGTTAAAACAACAGAAAAAAGAAAGAATGTTTTACAACATAAACAACGAAATGATGGTTAAATGAACTGAAATATAAAATACAAAATGACTATTAAAAAGATATAAGTAAACAAAATAAAAATTGTTTGTTAGTCTTTAAATTCAGTTTAATATCAATCATGAGAGTGGTGTAGTAACAATAACTAAGATACTGTATTATATAGTAGTGATCACTAACTAATGTGTCCTATAAGCATCCTCCAACATAAACGTATATCCAAAAAAAAGATAACAAGATATCACCCATGTAAAAATATACATTAGCCTTATGAACAATACATTTATATTGAGATAAGAAGTTGTTAAGTATGTAATTAAGTAGACGGCTAGAAAACGAACTAATTTAGGGTTGTATGATTAAGATGATGAATAGCGAAACTAGTGATTTATATTAATAAATAAGAAAATTTGTTTTATAGTATTCACCATTAAATGATTTACTGGATTTCTAAAACTTGATATGAGAAAGGTATAATGATCATGAACTACACTTATCAGGTCAAATAATCGAGAAGAATATGTGGATGATATGAACATTTTGTAATATACATTGAGGACTGAACTTAATAAACCATTGAAAACCAAGAAGTAGTAAGGCAACCATTTCATCCTAGTATAATGAACAGTATAAAACTCAACAATCTCCATAAAGCTGCAAACTAATCATAATTATGTACTCATTAGTGAGACAATCCCTAGAGTTCTATTCACAACCTGTGGACAGTAGAGTCCAACTGAATTTGATACTATACATTTATTCATCAACAGTATGGTTACAAATAGCGTAAATTGATTGAGGTTAGAAATGTAAACAATAGGATTTTAACATAGCAGTCAAAAGGTTAAGAGTTCATAATTGAACCTGAAAATGCTAAGTTCGATCTCCGTGACATAACAGATGCGCACTGTTGAAGATCCTCAAACTATAACTAAACAACTATCAAATGCTCTTTAGTATACAACAGTTGTTTAACTAGTGTTAGTTCGCAATATAAACTACCAAATTCAACACTCTCCACAAACTTCCTATACTAAAGACTGAAACATTATTAATATATTGATGGACAACAATTGTATAGATCATGAAAAATCAAACGATTAATCCTTTTACACATTTGTTGATTCTACATGCCCCCGAATGCCCTGATACGCCCAAGAGTGGTGACAGTAAAATCTCCCTCTCGAAATGCTCTTATATGGCCACGTGCATACAACCACTACCAGGAAAGTCCTACTCACTGCCTTCTCGCGGCATTACTGTTGATTACAAAATTCAGAGGACGAAAAGCGAATATCCGTTGCTTTAACCGGGTTGGTGGACACGGAGAGTCCACATAGGGGAGTTGGAAAACCCTGATTCCAAACCAATGGTTCACATGGGCGCCAGTATCCTAAAGGAACAAATGCCGTATGAACCAATCGTTGGTCAATGGCTACCATATGACTGCATCTCCTTACATTGCTCGACTGCCTTGTGGATTAGACCTCCAGGTCAAAGACTCCGGGTGTGACCCTTAAGAAAACCATCTCCTTTAGTTTGAGCACCCGGGCAGTATCCCAGCCCTCATACAAATCGAATGATTTATGTGCTTCATATCTATTTGGTGCCTTCTTGTAACTATATTCATGTGTTTAAATAAAATAAATGTTTATTCAATAGTTTATTCAAAGTCAGTAGAATGAGAATCATAGTAATTGTTCAGTGTGCACAAATAAACGAAAGAATATTAAAAAAACATCCAAAAACAATACAAACAATAATTGTTAAACTATATATCCATAGATTAAGACAACTAAAAAGGTGAATTAGTGTTAGCTATAAAGTTACCTAACCACCATTTAACAACAAAAGACAAAAAAAAGGATAACGACAAAACCACCAATAATGACGAAAATATAAGAATAACCGTAGACAGTATAGATGAAGAAATTGAGCCGTATAAATATACATATATGGACATATATATTTTCTTTTGATCAAAATTTACTTCATACCTATTTCCAATTGTCGTTTGATACGAGCTTTGTTAGCATCACGAAAATCAATTTGAATATTATTATAATCGGTCATAGCATCCATGAATAATTTAATATTTGCAAAATGCTATTTAAAATTTAGGAGAATAGATTTATTTAGATATAAATTTGATCCGATAGTTTTGTACATGAAAGAAATAGTATGCATAGATATATTTTGTTCCTATTTTAATTGGAATTGATATATACAGAGTAAAAAAACTAATGGTTGATACAATGAATTGGATTAATTTGCTGAGAATTTCTTTTATATATATATATATATATATATATATATATATATATATATATATATATATAAAGTTTGAAGCTTATGTAACCGACTTTGATGGAATAATTTTCCTATGAAGGGGTAAAGATATTATCAGGCTTAGAATTCGGTTTAAGCACATGGGCTCCAGTATCCTGTGGGAACAAATAGCGTATGAACCAATTTCTTGGTCACCGGCTACCATGGGACAGCATCTCCTCACGATGCTCCACTGTCTTGTGGGTTAGACCTTTAGGTCAAAGGCTCGGGGTGTGGCCCTCTAAGAAAACCACTTGTTTCGGTCTGGGCACCCGGGAAATATCATAACCCACACACAAATATGATGAAATGTCGATATTTAAGGAAAATACTTGTCTTGCTTCGATCAACAATCAAACGATTCACATTATTATTATTATTATTATTATTATTATTATTATTATTATTATTATTATTATTATTATTACGTCATTTATTCACTCTCCTTTAGAATGGCCGTCAGACAAATCAAGAACGGGAAAGCAGCAGGACCCGACAACATACCAGCTGAAGCACTGAAATCAGACATCGAAGCAACCACAAGCATGCTATACCTTCTATTCAAAAAGATTTGGGAGGAGGAACAAGTGCCAATGGACTGGAAAGAAGGACACCTCGTCAAGATTCCAAAGAAAGGAGATCTGAGCAAATGTGAAAACTACAGAGGCATTACACTACTGTCAATACCAGGGAAAGTCTTCAACAGAGTGTTGCTGAACCGGATGAAGGATGCAGTAGACGCCCAACTTCGAGATCAACAAGCTGGATTCCGTAAGGATCGGTCGTGCACAGACCAAATTGCAACACTACGGATCATCGTCGAACAATCAGTTGAGTGGAACTCATCACTATACATCAACTTCATTGATTATGAAAAGGCATTCGACAGTGTAGATAGGAGGACATTATGGAAACTTCTTCGACACTACGGAGTTCCTCAGAAGATTGTCAACATTATCCGGAACTCATACGACGGACTACAGTGCAAAGTAGTGCATGGAGGACAGCTGACAGATGCATTCCAAGTAAGGACTGGAGTCAGACAAGGCTGTTTACTCTCTCCCTTCCTCTTTCTTCTGGTGGTCGACTGGATTATGAAGACCTCAACATCTGAAGGAAAACACGGAATACAATGGACAGCTCAGAATCAATTAGACGATTTGGACTTCGCAGACGACCTAGCCCTCCTATCACGTACACACGAACAGATGCAGATGAAGACAGCCAGTGTAGCAGCAGTCTCTGCATCAGTAGGCCTCAGCATACACAAAGGGAAAACCAAGGTCCTCAAATTCAAGGCGGAGAACAGCAATCCAATCACTCTTGATGGCGAAACTCTGGAAGATGTAGAGTCCTTCACATACCTGGGAAGCATCATCGATGAACAAGGAGGTTCAGATGCAGACGTAAAGGCGAGGATCGGCAAAGCAAGGGTCGCATTCCTACAATTGAAGAACATATGGAACTCAAAACAACTTTCAACCAATATCAAAGTGAGAATCTTCAATACGAACGTCAAGGCAGTTCTACTGTATGGAGCTGAAACTTGGAGAACTACAACAACCACAATCAAGAAAGTACAAGTATTTATAAATAGCTGTCTACGCAAGATACTCAACATCCATTGGCCGGATACCATCAGCAATAGCCTTCTGTGGGAGAGAACAAACCAACTTCCAGCTGAAGAAGAAATTAGGAAAAGACGATGGAAATGGATAGGACATACATTACGCAAATCGTCAAACTGCATCACGAGGCAAGCCCTAACTTGGAACCCTGAAGGGAAGCGAAAAAGAGGAAGGCCAAAGAACACATTGCGTCGGATAATAGAAGCAGATATGAAAAGGATGAATTACAACTGGACGGAGCTGGAAAGGATTGCCCAGGACAGGGTTGGATGGAGAATGCTGGTGAGTGGCCTATGCTCCTTCACGAGGAGTAACAGGCGTAAGTTATTTCCACTTTATATATCCTTATTTTTTAAATTACACAGCAGCTCGTCTATGGTGGAAACCTGGTTCTATCTAAACGTTCTCGAGTCACTGTCCGGTTGAAAATTGTATGTTACCACCGAATACGAGGACTGAAGCAGATTTTCTGAAACCACGTGCACCATTCAAACTGGCTGCCTTCAACGTTTATGCAGGTCGGACAACAGATAGGGCTGGCTATGTCTTTGGAAAGTCTTAATATTGATGTTTGTTGTCTATCCGAGACCCGTATTCAAGACTCTGGCGAAGTACTACAAATTCGATCTCCATCTGTCGCTTCGAAAAGCTTGTTTTACGTGCGCTTATCCGGGGACCCTGTGGCATCTTCGTCTGGTCTTGCTGGCGTTGATGTCGCACTAAGCGCTAGAGCCGAGGCAGCACTAGTCGACTGGATCCCCATTAACAGTCGGTTATGTGCTGTTAGATTAGAAAGTTCCATCAAAGTGAGAAGAAATCGGCGTGAGAAACGATGTCTTTTCGTCATCTCCGCCTATGCCCCGACAGATTGCAGCCCAGATGCAATCAAGGATGAGTTTTACCACCAGTTATCAGTTCTTCTCCAGAAAGTGCGTTCGACAGATATTGTAGTACTAGCTGGAGACTTGAATGCTCAGGTCGGGCGTCTAGGCACAGAAGAGAGTCGTTTAGGTGGCCGATGGGGACTCGTTGGTCGCAGGTCAGATAACGGGGACCGTCTACTGCAACTTTGCACAGACCGCAACCTGTTTCTGGCTAGCACTAACTTTCGGCACAGTCATCGCCGATGTGCCACCTGGCGTCCTCCCTCTGCATCTCAAGCCTGGACTCAGATTGATCACATCGCAATCAGCTACCGCTGGCGTGGTTGTGTACAAGACTGCCGCTCCTTTTGGAGTACCTATCTGGACTCTGACCATGCCTTGGTCTGCGCCAATCTTACCTTACTTTTCAGTGGCCAACGAAGTGACCACCACCAACGGATTGATGTTAGCAAGCTGGTTGCAACCTCTGTTGCAAGTAAGTATCGAACCGAGATAGCCTCTAGGCTAGCTACCACTCCACCGAAAAGTATAGATGAGCATTTGTTGCAATTGCATGACGCCATGAAAATGGCGGGAACAGTCAGTTGTGGGTTCGCGAAACGTCCCGCTTATAAGCACTGGGTTTCTTTGGGCTCCTTACAACTCATTGAAGCCCGTCGGTCTACTCCAGGTGACTCTCTGGTTAAGGAACTGACGACGTTGTTTACAAAGGTTTGGGAACTAGAGAGTGTACCAACGTCATGGAATGAGTCGATAGTTGTCCCTATCTTTAAAAAGGTTTCACGACGTTCCTGTAACAACTATCGGGGGATAAGTCTACTTCCGATTGCGTCAAAGCTATTGGCTTCCGTCAAAGGCCAACAATCGTAGTGTTTCTTGACATTAGAGGTGCCTTCGATTCGTTGGACGGGACTGTTCTCTGGGATTGTCTATTGAAGAAGGGTGTGCCTGAGAAGTTTATTAACATCCTAAAGGCCCTATACACAAACGCGTCGGTGAGAGCAGTTTCTGCTCTATGCTTGTGAAACCTGGCCTCTCCGAGTTGAGGATGTTAGATGACTCTCTGTGTTTGATCATCGCTGTCTCCGAAGGATTGCTGACATTCAGTGGCAACACCATGTTAGTAATGCAGAGGTTCGGCATCGTGTGTTCGGGAGCAGAGACGACAATTCAATTGGTATCATCATCTTGAAACATTAACTTCGGTGACTTGGACATGTTCTACGAATGTCGTCCCAGAGAATTCCACGTCGTGCATTATTTGCCGACTCTGGGACTGGTTAGAAAAAGCGGAGAGGTGATCAGTGTATGACATGGTGTCGGAGTATGAAAGAAAGCTGCAAAGGACTGGCTTGTGTTGGTCCTTCACGACTCCCTAACTGGGGTTTTAGAGATGGTGCAACACAGTGGCTAGAGACGTTATCAGATATGGCTCAGAATAGAAGCCAGTGGCGATCCTGCTGTAACCTTCTTTTACTTTCTTCATAAAAAGTGGTTGTATCTTTCTTAACTTAAAGAATTCTTCTGGTTGTACCTTTCCGTTTCCCTCATTATTACTATTATTACACTACCTTACACTAATCTGTTCATCATTGTTCGTTTTTTTCTCTCATTGTTTTGTGTGGCGCATATGTATTTGGTGCCCTCTTGTACCAATATTTATGTGTTTAAAAAAATAAATAAACAAATCGGTTTAAGTACCCGGGCAGTATCCTAGCCCTCACATAAATCGAATGAAAGAGGTATGAATTAGCAACATAATTGCTACAAGTTAAGTGATTTAATTAGTAAAGCATGATTTTTGAATAGTTTGAATAAATAGTGCTCTCTGATTGTAAGAACTAGTTACTAGATAGGGAGAATATTAGTAAGGAGAAATTAGTGTATATATGATATGTACATCTAGCCTTCAGTTATTTATTTGCATCTTGTGGCACGTTCTACAATTCAGTTAGTCCCGAACTGTCTGCTTTTCTGATCTCCAAGTTTATGCCTACTCCGTGCTTTTTGACGTGCTTAGACTCTTCTCTCCGCCTATTGACTATCATGACTTCCACAACACGTTCCGCTACATACTACTTACAAGCAATCTTGTCAGTAACATTAACCACATTGTTGTCAATGAAATTGCAACTTACATCAACGAGTGATGAATACAAGCTATAGTAACCCTCCTACAATTAATTTTGCTTATGACTAGTGATGTCAAGATCTTCAATAAACTTATTTAACAGTGTTATTCGAACGGTAACAATTCGTCTAGTTCTTCGTAATATTAAGATTGCTTCATGTCTATATAAACGCGTATGCATGATCACCTGTAACAGCCCATATATATATATATATATAGCTTAAATGTTAATCGCTTACATATCGCTCGACGAATCATTCTCTTTCGCATATATATATCGCAAATTGAAACTAGTCTAGTGATTTTAGCGGTTAGGCATGAGCAATGGAAACTCAAGATGCTATGGGTTTAATCCCTGTTGATGATATGAGTATATATTATTGAGAAGTCCCATATAAGGATGATATAGCTACATCCAATACTCACAATAGCTTTCAATGATACTTCTCCCCCAAAAACTGACATTACATATGACAAATACAATCACCTACAGATATGATCCTAATTATTAACTACGCCAATCGACTACTAGGTATTCATTTATTTTCTACTGATAGGAATACTAGACGAAGAATAACATTTTTCTTAAAACACGTTAAAATTGGTAACCGACAAGACGATGATGATGATGATACAGTGATATAACAGTTAAAGTACAAGATTATTATTCTGTCAGCTACATTTTCAGTTCTGTTTCTAATTAAGTGTTTAATTTTAAATATATAAACGCAGGTGGACTTATTCATGACACCAATAGCTGCTCAATAACTGGAACTACGTGTATTGAAAGATAAGTTTGAGATGTCATAATTGAACTGGTTATGACAAGAAAATTTTGATTAGAAGGAATTTGCATTATCACAAGTAAAATTTATGTTTAGATTTTATCAAGAAGTTCAGTTACTTAACACATAACTGAGCGAATACAGAAGAGATCAACAGTGATCAATTATTGATTTGTGTACCATGTTATGAGAAGTAGATGGACTATGTGAAGTTCATAAACAATATAGTGGTTCTTGATTTTGAAGACGTTATCTAAACTTAACCAGGTTGTTGAGCTACGGCTAAACTAGTAATCATTGGATTAAATAACATGTAACCTCATGTGTACCCACTACTATTACGGGTATTATCAGACTACAGATACAACTGGTGAGCAGTGTGATTTTTGGTTTTCGATTCATACTTTAATTGATATCCATTAGTGACGGAAACTTTCGTTTAGAAAAGATAGTTAGAAGTCACCTATATCCATTACTCACAGTACCATTCGACTTTATTAACATGTTTCAAAATTCCCCTAAAACAATCTTGATAAACATTCATATTGAAATATGAACTAGAATGGAATTATATACTATTCTATTCATCAGAACTAAGGATCGTATTCCCTGTTAAGTACCTGATCCAAGAGTGTATCAAAGGAAAAAAAAGTTGCTTTCTGAAATCTCAATGAGTATCTATCAGTTTACTTGCTTTCGTACAGCAGGTATTGGTCTTACAAAGCATGTTGCTTACAAATGCATATCCGGATGCTACAAGATGTGGTACTTGAATGAAGAATGCAAATTTACCAATAGTTCCATGATCAGCATAGCAGTATGTGGAGGTTATTGAATTTCATAGTACATATCAGGAAATGACCAAATTTATAAAACTAGTGAAAACTGGGAAACATTGAACAATTCTTTTAGCTTATTAAAGAAACCTCAGTAATGAGCATCCACAGCGTCATCGGGGCTCGAACCCAAAACATCCAGGACTCGAGGTGAGCACTTAACTTTAATGATTTACATTTCTAACTTCAATAAATTCGTGATTTTGTACACATATCTTTCAGTACTTTAAGTGGCTAATTGTCTACGGTCAATCCATAATATAAACGATGGGATTTAACAATCTTCGTAAACCCCCATATCGATCATTACCATGCGCTTATTAATAACTAATCTTGGAAGTTAATACCTAAAGTTCTAATGATAACCAGTGGCCAGTGGAATTCAACCTTGTAGGGTGTCAGAGAACTATCTACTAATGCCAATGGAAGACGACCGGACAATATCACGGATTGACTGAAGTTAGAAATGCAAACTCAGTAGTTTAAAGGTCAGCTGCTCTCCACTGGATCTGAAGTTTCTGGGCTCGATGAAGGCTACCACTTTGAACACTGCCCCATTTAGTTGGAAATCCACAAAGTACTAATATTTAGTTTTGTGCTTGCTTTATTCTATTAATTATAAGCTCTTGTTTAATGTATGAATTATTAACAAGTTCATTTCGATTTCAAAATTACTGTGATTTACATATGACCCTTTGTATTTCATTATTTTACTCTAAAACATTAGCTTGAATAGACTCGTATTTTCCTCATTCTTTGTGCGTTGTTGTCTTGTTGACCATATATTTATTCGTGTAGCTATTCTAAGTGAAATCAGGATTAAACTGGATATGCAGTACCAGCCAGATCAACTCTCTCCCCGCTTATCAACCTGCCAGGTCATAGGTCAGTGGTAGGATAGTTTTCCTCTCCGTTTTCAAGGTCATCCAGTCACAAACGGGATTCACATGTTACAAGTCTCAAGGTCGTGTTATGTAACCTACCACATCAATACAGTAAACGAGATCTCTCCTTTCATGTCAAGCACAAAATAATGGGCAGACAAAACAAAGAAGACACTGCTATATAGTAAAATGACCATAAATACGATCGATATGAAACAGACGAAATGTGGCTAGCAGTAAAATCCAGGACGATAGTTTCATTTTATTCCCAACTTGAAAACAGGCTATCATCAATACGACTGTATAAATTTTATAAATTAAAATCTCGCTTCCAGAAAATTCTCTTCACCCTGAATTATTCTTACTTTCCTTAATAATATACTACTTAAATAAAATAACAATGAATGTATTCATAAAATATATCATTCCTTTTTTTACCTGAGTTTTACGAATACGTAAATCAGCGGATGTAGCATCTTTAGCTTCTTGTTCTCTGATTGTTTGTTCCAATGCTATTTGGAAATTTGTAATAAATAAATAAAAACAAAATTGATAATGAAAACAGTTTAAAAAGATAATTTGAAAAATTAAACAATTTCGATCTAATTTTATAAATGAGTTTAAAGTTAACCACTTTCTATACAAATAAAGTGTTATAAACTGTCAAAATTGATGTGTAGTGGAGTTTCCGATTTGTGACTGAAGAATTATGAGTTGAGTGCCAAATCATCCGGCATCGTACATGGATTGGTCTACGTTTTAAAAATTCTTATTTTAAGTATCTTTTTGATAATTTTCTAGAAATGGAATCCAAAACATATTTTACTCATTCTAGGATGTATAAGCCGGATTACCTACATTCCAGTGTTGATGGGCAGGTAGATATGAACTAAGTATGGATCGATTCGATGACGATGATAGTTCACTGTAAGCTCAGATTTGATCACAGTTGTTCGACCATAGAAAATTTAGAAGATTCATAAATATTCTGAGGACACCTCCCGGCGAAAAACAATACTAAAAAGCCTTTCAGTTGACAATATCAAATGTTGTCTTAAGGTCAATAAATATGACTACATTCAGAGGTTAGCATGTGTTTGTATTATAAAATCTGTCAAATTAGTGGTGATCCAATTGATTAGTTCTGATTTTACTCTATTACTTACAACGAATGCGATACTAAGGGGTCTTCAGATAAGTCTATATCGAGGAAGGCTTGGAAATTCGCAGATGTAGAGCAAATTTGTAATACTAGACTAAAATCTTGAATAAGTGTTGTAAGTGAGAGAAAGAGATTGATATCTAAAATGTCCAAAAACACAGAAAAACCTCTGTTTTCCGATCTACATGAGGGCATAAACATGGAAGGCTGTTTAAACGACATGTCATTTTACAAAACCCTTATCGTATTTTATACTGAGTGACAGTATCAAAAACACTAATCACTCAGCAACTTGAGACCGTTTTGACAGAACAGAACCTTTGCTATCAAATTCAAGACTCAATGACAATGTAAACTCTCGGTAGCCTCCATAAACAAAACAGTGAACTTGAAAGAAAAAAATCACTTTAAAGTTAAATTACAACGAAACTGAGCGCTAAATATACTTTAACCTAGCTCGGTTTATGTCATAAGAAAGGCTTGATTTAGTGTCATTTATAAATTTGTCTTCATTGCCTACTTGACTGAAGTTGTAAGGAAAATGATGACCGCGAGATCGAAGTATGGTATTTCAAGCTAATTTGTCATTTAAAAAGGTGGACTCAGATTTTGACACAATCATAGCGTTTTTGTTGAGGTATAAAAGTCCTCAGTACAGTTATAGGTACATAGGCTGTAAAATACACATTGCCAAGGAGTTCCAAAACAATACAAGATATGTGTGTATTTCTCCCTGGATTTCAACTGTTTTTTTAATTTATTTCAATTCGTAATGAAAATATTCTTAAACAGTGTACTAATATTGTGTTTGGTTCCTATGTTATTCAGTTATGTATCGAGGGAATACTCAGATGTTTTACAGTAGATCAATGGCTATGAAACCTGCATTTTTCAAGGTGCAAACTCAGAAGACATATGAGAAAGAGGATAATAACTATAAATAAACCCTGACGTCTGTTGAGAACGTCAGATACCCAGAACTCACTTGGAAAAGGTCCTAATTTTGTAATTTTATTTTGAAAATTTGAATTTTGTTTTCGCGCCAAGAGACGCTTAGTTGACCTACAGCTTACATTTCCTGCTCAGAAACCCTTGACTGTCATTAGTTGACGGACCTTTTTTAGTACGCTATTTTGTGACTCTCCCAAGGGCTTTTCTATCATTGTATAAATGAGTTTGATTTGTGTGCTTAGTGACCTCGTATTTTCTGGGTGCTTGTAGAATACATTCTCTACGCCTGATCAAGACTTCTTGATCTAGGTAGCAAGGCCGGGGACAACGGATTAGAATAGCCTATCGTGTCACTGTATCTGTGAACTTCGTTCTGTTTACCGAGTAAAATGAACTCGTAATAGCATTTCAAGCATATCAAAGTCATGCAATATTTCTTCTGTTTTCAAACTTAAATAGATCAGTTTATGCAAAGAATATAGTTATGAAGTAATCTTGGTGTTAATATTATATAGTCATTACATATATATTACTCTTTCCTCTAACTTTTCATAAACCTTTTTCATTATAAGAAAAATTAATTTATTTTTTGTTACACGTAGCACAACACTTGAAACTGTCTTATTTTTAACTTTGAGAACAAAAAGAAAAGGAAAGTACGTAAAATACTTCTTTTAAGTGTTTCCACAAGTGGCTACACGTCCATTGAAATAACCATAAAAATAAGTGGTATTCACCTATCATATACATATGAAATCTAGTTATAATTTAAAACACAGGTAAGTTGATTATCCATATAACTTTTATTGAGAACATGTTGTGTTGTTTGGAAGAGATATTTTAAAAGTCAATCAATAAAACTATTCAAAAGCTAATCATAGTACCAGAAGTCATTCAGGTCTAGAGTTTTTAAACGTCTCACTAGTAGGAATTCATAAATCATCATCATCGGTGGAAGAAAGGAACCTGATTCTAAGTAATTCACGTAAACTGATTGGATCCGGAATATATGTCCGTGAGGACCTCAGCCTAGCTGATCGTATTAAGAGAAGAGCTGCAGAAGCGGAAATAAACGAGCGTCGCCGAAACGGTGAAAGAAACCTCGTTCTTAAGGGTTTTCAGATTGTAAAAGTTCGGAGCAAAACGATCCCCAAGCCACTCTGGGTGGCAAGGGAAAGCTCTCCACAGACTTAAAAGTGTGCTACACAAATGCTCGCAGCCTACTAAATAAAATGGCGGAGCTGAAGTCAGTGGTGGACAAAGAAAAACCGGACGTTATCGCTGTCTCGGAAACTTGGTTAACGTCAGAAGTATTAGATAGTGAAATCCAATTGACTGGTTTCATAACCAGTAGGGCTGATAGATTAAACCGAAGGGGAGGCGGGGTTATTTGTACACCAAAAGTACCCTAACCATAAGATTAGCTGAGACAGTAGCACATGTTTCAGGGACATGTGAACTGGTGAGATGTAAGTTGAAATGCCGAAGGCAAGATATTGAAGTAGTTGTAGTTTATCGCAGTCCAGAATGTGTAGCAGATGATTTTCTCCTTAGTAAACTTAAGTCCTGGTGTAACAACGGTAAAAGCCTTGTAGTAGGCGACTTTAATGCACCATATATAAACTGGGTTAACTTAGAAGTAGGGTCATCCATATCGTCGTTCGACTCCAAACTGTTAGAAACCTCGATTGGACTAGCATTATTCCAACACATTAGAGATCCCACAAGATACGACTTAAGAAACTCTTCTCTTTTAGATTTAGTCTTCACACACGGTGATGACGTTGGTCAAACGGCTTTTCTCCCACCACTTGGGAGAAGTGACCATGCAGTCATCTTATTCAAATTCATGGCTGAGATTGCTTGTCAAACAATTGCGCCGGCCCGTCCTAACATATGGAAGGCAGATATGCAGGCAATTAACTCCGCAGCATCGGCTGAGAACTGGGAAATCGACTCAAAGGCATCAGTACAAGAGGCATGGACTCTATTCAGGCAGTTATACAATCGGGTAACTCAACCATACATACCCTGGACTGTCCCAAAGAAAAAGAAGCACGGACATCCCTGGATAGGGCGGGATATTCGACGCTTACTAAGACAAAAGAAGAAATGCTGGGATGTTGCCATCCGCCTTGGCACAGCGGGTACGATGGAACGTTACAGATCGATAAGAAACGAGTGTATAACTAAAATTCGGGAAGCGCAAAGAAAATATGAAATGCAGCTGGCAGAATCTGCACTCAAGCAGCCCAAGAGGATATTCTCGTACATAAACTACAGAACAAGGATTCATCATTGGATTCCCAACCTAATTAAAGTAGGAAGTGAATCTGAAATGATAGAGGAAGATCAGGAAAAAGCTGAGGTTATGGCTGACTACTTTGGGGCAGTTTTCACTCAGGAACCTCCTCTAGAGAAAGAACCAGACCCAATTACAGAGTCAACAAACCAGCTGCTCACCGTGGACTTCGACCAAAACGATGTGCTTAAGGCTCTTAGCACCCTAAACATGGAGAAGTCAACAGGACCAGATGAACTACACCCTAAAATCTTGAGACATATTGCCCAATATATCGCAGCCCCACTGACTGTGATATTCAAAATGTCACTTGACCAAGGTGTGTTACCTATGGACTGGAAGGACGCAATCGTCACTCCCATACATAAAACAGGACCAAGACAAGTTCCATCAAATTACAGACCCGTAAGCCTCACCAGTGTTGTAATTAAAATACTGGAAAGAATAATCAAACGGACCATAACAGCATTTATGGAAACCAATAACTTGCTGAACATGGCACAACATGGTTTTAGAAAGGGTCTATCCTGTACAACGAACCTCCTTATAGCTAGGGAGCTCTGGATTAATGCGCTAGACAACGGAAACTCAGTGGATGTTGTCTACATAGACTTCAGTAAGGCTTTTGACAAGGTGCCAACTAATAGGCTGCTATTGAAGTTGACAAACCTTGGTATTGCCGGACCTCTTTTAAAATGGATTAAGGATTTCCTAGTAGGTCGTAGGCAAAAAGTAAGAATAAATTCCAAGTGCTCCATCTGGAGACCAGTACTTAGTGGAGTACCCCAAGGTTCCGTCTTAGGTCCTTTACTTTTTATAATGTACGTTAATGATCTTACAAGTATAGTACAGTCTCCAATGTTATTATACGCTGACGATGTAAAAATTTGGCGAGTAATAACTGGAGACAAAGACGCATTTACTCTTCAGGCGGACTTAAATAATATGATAAACTGGTCTAAAGAGTGGCTAATGCCTATCAACTCGGAAAAGTGTGTCTACATGCACTTGGGGGATTCAAAGGTTAATACGTACAACATAGGGGATGTGTCATTACCCGTAGTCCGGTCTCATAAGGACCTAGGGGTGACAGTGAGCAATGATCTTAAGACGACGGCCCATTGCCGGGAGGTCGCAGTTAAGGGGTTTCGAACCCTCTGGGCTTTAAAAAGGACATTCACTAAGCTTGACACTACCATGTTCACCACATTATACACATCCTTAGTGAGAACTAAGTTAGAGAACTGTGTTCAGGCTGCAAGCCCCTGTTTAAAGGTGACTCGGACATAATAGAAAAGGTACAGAGGGCAGCTACGCGTGCAATTCCGGAACTCCGGGTTTATCATATAAAGAGCGGCTTGAAAAACTGAACCTCTTTACTCTGTCCTATCGCAGACTAAGGGGAGATCTAATATTGATGTACAGAATACTGAGAAATGATTTCGGACCTAACTTATTCTCTCTCTTTCTTCCCACTAGATCGGGACACCTCAGAGGACATAGCAGGCGAGTAGAAAAGCCAAGAACGAACAAAATACCCGTGGCATACAGGTTTTCACACCGAGTCATCAATACTTGGAACCTGCTGCCTGAAGCAGTGGTGTCCGCACCTTCAATTGACTCTTTCAAGAGAAGACTGGACACTCACAGAAGCATACTAGAAAAGGAATAACATAGGCCGTAGGCCTTCTCTCCTTACTACACAAATCTGAATCTGATCATTATCATAGAAAAGAAGACTACCACCATCTCAAACGGAAAGTGAGTCGAAATTCAGAATTACGCATGATAACAACAACACGTGACGTAGTACAGTTTATATAACGTATAAGAATTCTTATGTGATTAGTGAACCCAGTGAACACTAAATGAGCGTTTTCTAAATTTTCTAACAACGTATTTTAGTTTTATTGATAAATTCGTACAACATTCAAAATGTTTCACACAACTGAAATCCTTCGATCAAATTGAAATAGATTATTTTTATTCAGTAGTCTGTCAGTAACAGACTTTATCAATTTAGAACGGATTTTATATCATCAGGAATATTCTCATGACATAAATTGTGTAATTTTCAATGAAAAATTGAGTAAAAGTACAGTCTGATGATTGAACAAGTCAAATCTAAAGAAATGTTAACATAAACAGTCAATGAAAAAACATTTTATGAAGTGAGTCTTTAACGACCGAAGTATTTAGAGCATGTACTACGTAAGCCCAACCAACCTCTGCCTCCATTCATCATGTCGGCTAGGGTAGCAATAGGTTGGAAAAAGACTAGAGATGGTCAAAAGAAGACGTGACATCAGTCCATGAAGTCATAAACTGTGGGATTGGGTTGTGTAGGTAAGTGCAGACTACTACTTTGAGGTCCGCGCGACTATAGCGACTCAATATCTGGGGTTGTTGGGCTATAAAACTCAAGATCTGTTGTCATTGCTTAGATCAAAAGTTTTAAAACCACTTCACGATTTTCATTCTGCAACTTCACTAATTTCTTCAGAATCACATTTTCTGTGTTATATGTCCGATAAGAGTGGACTGTGATTAGTTAACGGTTACGAACAGATAAATATATGTGAATTGTAATATGTACTTTCCTAACCCTTTGTATTTGTTATATAATTTGGTTCGGGCATATATCGTGTTATTGATCAGTGTTTAGATTAAGCGTCTGACATTATAAAAATAATTTGCTCTAAAAAACTGAACACTCTGAAACTAGGTCTAGTGTTTTTCACTACCACTGATACTTTTATAACATCTAATAAGATAGTATGCCCTGATACTTTCATTTCTGTGTGCCATGATTTTGCAGCTTAAACCGATACATCTGAGCCAGTTTCTTTTTTTATGACTAATTAGTTGATAGTGACAGTGCATTTTCAAAATAAATAAGAGAACATTACGGAAATCAGAGCATATATATATATATATATATATATATATATATATATATATATATATATATATATAACAGGAGCCCGTCTACGGTTACTGCCTGTTTCAAACCCAAGGGCAGGAGGAGTGAACATAGGGTTTACAACTTAATACCACAAAACAGAACTTTCTTTAACAAATACTAACAAATACAACAAAATTATAATTACTAATAATTCGAAGAAACAGTTCCAACATCTACAATGTTTATTCTGTTATAACTCTTTTACTATTCATCTTTCTTTGGATCTTAGATACTAGGCTACTAGGATATATTCATATCTATTAGTACTTGTTTATTGATTGTTAGTTGGCGCTATGGCCAGCTCAATTTTTTCGGTCCACTTATTTTCCAACAAACTATCTAAGCAAAGATGGATGGTAACTAGCAGTGGAATCCAAGCCGTGCGTTTCGTCCTATTTAGGACTTATCAGCTGGATATGCCTGCATCCCAGAGTTGATGTTCACTCCGAGACTCAAACCCAATATCGTTCGCTTCAAACACCATCGAGTTATTCACTTAGCTACTGAATCCTAATAGCCACTAGGTTGTGCAATGGAGTGACTAGCAGGCACATCTAGCTGAAGAGTCCTAAATAGGATGAAACGCGCGTACTGGATTTCACTGCTAGTCACCAACCATCCTTGCTTATAATATTTGTGACTTAAGGCAATATCAAGGCAATCCGCACAAGATGCACATATGCCAATAACAAACTGATCAATTGCAGTCATAAACATCAATGGGAAGAATCAAACGAACAATACAAAAATGAATCAACAAACTATCTGTTTATTTGAACTGAATAGTTATAAATGCTAACTGAATATACTTTCAAACTATCATAAAAAGATTATAAATTATTATGATGATAAATACTGTAAAACTCAAACAGAAAAACTATAGTTTTTGGCATATTTTCTTTTTTTTTTAAGTATCCTTTGATTAAAACAAGAAACAAACCTACTGGAATTCAAGTACCTTATAAATATATATGATGGATGAAAAATGTAGTTATAACAAATGAACTGATAAGAAAAACGACCGAATATTTAGTGGAAGGTACCGACGGTTAAAAAGTATTATTTTCAAATATAAATTTGTCGCAATTTAACACAAGTGATCATGAGGATACTTTACCGTAGCAAAATTTATAGTACTGAATAAAGGTTATTATTATTATCATTATCAGGGAAGGATTTTTGTGGATATTATAGTAATTTAATAGTTGAATTCATAAGTCAGTTGAAGCTAGACCACTACGGAAAATCTGGAAGCACTGGACAACCGTTTCGTCCTATTGTGGGACTCCTCAGCAGTGCACATCCACGATCCCGCTTTAATTGACTCATGAATTCAACCATTAAATTACTATAATATCCACAAAAACCTTTATCTGATTACAATCATCAAATGCTCACTAGTGACTGTTTCCAACAGGTATTTCCTGGAGTTCTAGTGAGAAACCGTGATCAGTGAAGTTCAACCGGATTTACTGTGAGATAGTAACTCATTGATGACAATAGTGGACGGTGGCGCAACTTCGTGGATTGGTTGAAGTTAGATAATAACACCGTTGGATGCCAACTCAGCGGTTTAGTGGTCAAGCACCCTTCCGCGAGACTGATAGGTCTTGGGTTTGAATCTCGCGGCGGGCGGAGTCGTGGATGCGCGCCTTTGAAGAGTCCCATACTAGGAAGAAACGGCCGTCCAGTGCTTCCAGGTGGTCTAGCTTCAATTCACATATGAATTCAACCATTAAATTACTATTATTACTACTGTTATTATTATTATTACTATTATTATTACTGTAATTTGGTTCGATGGAAACCATGTCATATCGTATTACCCAGTTTAATTAATTCATGCTATAAATTAATAAATTTAAAAGAAAAGATAAATGAAAATGAATGATCAAAAAAAGAATGTATACACACTTACATTTTAGCTTAAGTCGAATTTCTTTAGCTGAACGTGTAATACTCTCATTTAATTCTTCTAGTTGTGTTTTTGTTTCTATGATTTAAAAGAAAAAGAAGAATAGTGAAGTGTTATTAGAAATTATAATTATTACTGATGAATATACTCAATGGATATCTTTAGGAAATGATAATAGAAATAAAAAAGGTTAAGATTTTTTTTATAAAATTAATCATTTGAATTGAAAGAGGGGGTGCAAGACTATAATTTATGAACGAACCGATTAGATTTAGGATAATAAATCTTAGATTTTGGAGCGAAATTCATTCATCCATTCATTTGACTAAATAGCGTTTTGGTATTCTAACTTATATCAGTTCGTGATGAAAACCATGAATATAATTCCTAACTCTAACCATAGACTGTAAACCATAATTCTAATTCTCCATACTGCTTTGTAACCCTTATTTGGTCCCACATAGTATATATATATATATAATACAGTGAATGAACATTTGACTATCATTAATTCACATGATAATAACGAGTGTACTACTTCCCATGGTTATTCTCTAGTAACTGTTCAAACGGACTAGTAGAACATGATTACTATAAATATTATCTTATTTCTAATTTGTAAATGCCCAGATTTCGAGATTATTAAACTTTAATTCATCAATTTCAGTTTGATTAATTTTTTACATAAGAAAACATTGTATGTCAAATAACAAAGAAGATGAAATGATGATTATTGTTATTAACTTATTTACCATGTAATTAGCTTTGAGTTACACCCTAACTGTAAGAACTAATGATACTACCCGGTTGCTGAAATCTAAGCAGGTGAAACAGGCTTTGAACTTGTGAATTAGTGGATAACACAAATTAATCAAGAAAAAAATAGACTTCAAAATAAACTCATTTTAAATTATTCATCATAAAATGTTGACGCGTGTGATCAATGAAACTAAGATGTAATCAGCCACTGAGCGAAGGATAGGCTGACAGACAATCCGTTTAGTAACCTCTTTAATATGTGAATTCCTTTCTGTTATTGTTTTCTACTTCAGACTTCATTACTTTTAAACTGCTTGCAATTATGTTAAACAAAGTATGAGCTAGTTTTCTATATTTGATTGTGAGTCTTGTATATGGTATAATATAATCACAGTTTGTGTACATCATATTGATTGAGTATCCAGTCAGTTTAGTGGTGACATAATCTCAGGCACAGGTTATATTATAATATCATATCATGATAAACAGAAATATGCTTATTTTGCTACTATATCAAAAAGTGAATAATCAAAAAAAAACATCCAGAAAACATTAATCAAGACAGAAAGTAACACGTATAGTTTTCCTGTTGCTATGGCAACAATATTTATGGTGTAAAATGTGATCATAATTTCTAAGTGTGTTTACCATCGTCTAACAAATGCAATGACGGATGGTAATCAGTAATTTTCATATAGAAATATCATGACAATAACTCAGGTTCATTTAACGGAACAACAAATAGTTGAATATAAAATACTATTCCTATTTTTAATACATTTTTACTGTAATTTTTTTTAAAAAGTCTGATGTGAAATTTCCGTTACCATGTGTAAATAATTTCTCACCCTGAAATTAATTAGCACTTTAGAGGTTATCGATTTTGTTTCTGTTTTAATAACAGTACAGTGTAAAACAAAATAATCATCTTACTAAATCAAATAACCAATTCTATCAGTCAGTCAGCTACAACGTAGGACCAGGCATATATGTGCATCAGTTCAAGTTCCCATACCTCATTAGCACAACAAAATGAACACCAAATTCATAAAAGTAGTCAATTAAGTGGTGGTAATATATAAAAGAAAGATTGCATATAAGGACATAGTGCAGGAAGAAAGAATTAGTTCGTAGAAAGAAAGATAAGAAGCGATTTTAATCTTATGGTTTAAAAGAAGATAAAGAGTGTATACACCTACGCCATTGTGATCGATCTTCATTAACTATTAAAGCGTTAATAACTGCTTTAATCATTGATATACATATGGCAGTATTATTCTGTGATCAAAAATGATCTTGATCTCTAATGAATTAGTACGATTGAAAATGATTTGAATCGTAAAATCTTATCAAAGAGCCTCATTATTTTAAATGGTTTGCATGTTAGACAGAAATCTAGTTATTTTAAATAGTCTTACTCTTATTCTAATATCGTTTGGATGCAAATTTGATCCGTATGTAGGACAAAGAATTATGTATACTTTAGTCTCATTATGTCTTTGGAAAATATATTGATAGAACTTGTGAACAATACACATTTATCTCGAAAAAGTAAATGAATATCACCTGATTTATACATATGGAAGAAATTAGACTGGCATGTACTATAGATTTGTATAATCGATTTACCTGTAAGTGGAGTTTAATTTAATAAAAAGACACTTGCTGAAACACAAAACAGTATTTACTCAATCAATAAAAGAAACGAGTATAACTTCGACTTGGTGATCAGCCAGTAACATCACCATCGACAAATATTTCTGGTTCTTAAAGTTGGATAGTTTATTTGTTTACTTAAACACATAAACATTGGTAAAAAGGGGCACCAAGAACATATGCGTCACACAATAGCAATGTGGCCAGTAGTAGTTATCCTTGATTTGTGAAGGCTGTGATAGTGTCCGTGTGCCCAAACCGGAGCAGCTGGTTTACTTATGGGACCACACCCAGAGCCTTTGACCCAGAGGTCTAATCCACAAGATAGTGTAGCAACGTTAGGGGATGCAGTCCCATGGTAGCTGGTGACCAACAATAGGTTCATACGCCTTTTTGGTCTTCCATACGCACTAACGCGGTTAAAGCACTGGATATTAGCTTTTCGTTCTCTCATTTCCGTAAATAACAACCCCACTGAGAGAAGGCAATGATTAGAACTTCCCTGAAAATGAGTAAACACGCGTGGCCATGTAAGAGCATTTAGAGAGCGAGAAAGAATTCTCCCTACCCTCGGTTGTACCAAGGCATTTTGAGGCCTAATTTGGGCCTCGCCGACTGCATTTACTTAAATATCAGTGTTAATGTTCACATTAACACATAAACCCAGCATCTTTCTCTCCAAACGCTAACGCATTATCTGTTGATCTATTGATTCCGGGTAGCCAAGAGTTTGTGCAATGTGTATGGATTTTATTTGCAAGTCCTTGTAGTTTCCCGTTGCTGATGTGTTAAGGACTGCAAATGATCAGCACGTCTGCACCCTGGAAGGATTTCCTCAGTGTTACCATCTAGTCACAAAATTATCATTCAAGATGAATAGTGGCTAACAGTGGAAAATAAAAGAGGTTTTAAGTAAAAGGTTTTGGACCGCATACTGTTTACATGTGAATAAAAATGATATTGCCTGGCTACCCAAACAAAAGTAGTTGTATGGGGGTCCGAACTTAAGGCTTACTGACTGAAAGTCACATGCTAACTACGCCACAGCTATCTAAAGTTTTACTCCACTGAACGTTAATCATTTGGATCGTTAAACCACTACTATGCATTAACTTTAAATGTGATCCAACCAAATGTGTCAAAATATCGAAGGCAAAAGTTGTAATACGATTAGTACATGTACCAGTAGATAAGTAGTGAAGCAGCATGATATTCACGCGGATAACCATGAACATAAATTTAATTGGAAAAGTGTTGGGATTTTGGATCATAGAAGCTATAAGAATGTAAAAGAATTTCTATGAGCATATCATTTAGATCAACTAGCAATCGATAAGCATATAAACATGAATCTGACATACCAGCCCATTAAAAAAACGGTCAGTCAGCCACGAAGTGAGAAGTCAACCAAAGAAGACAGCCAATATGAACGTAAGGAGTGAAGACAATAAAATCTGCGAAGACTATTAATTGAAAGCAAAACCATCAAAAGAACTGATGTGACGCTTATGGAGTAACTAAAAAAAATCTCATTGCTGAATAAAAAAGGAACTGATGTCATCCATAACGATAATTAAGGCTCCGCAACCAAGCTATCCAGTTCAGAAAAGACAACACTACTAAAAACATTCAGCTTACAGTTGCAGAAGTAGTTTAGTGAAAAGGTCAATCGATGACAATCAGAAGTGACCTAAAGGAAAAGGGCATTTCACTGGCAGAAAATGGATCAATTTCATAAAGATTATAGTGGTATATATGTGAATGAGTATTTGTGAATTTTATTCGGTAACCAATACAATTTGCCGCTCATTCTTGTGTTCTATCTCAAGGTAGTCAGTTTAAGGGGTTAGCGCGTAGCACACCGTGTATCGGAATCAGACATTTGGACATCGCCCATCACAACAAAAATCTCCATTATTTCAAGAACCCTTACCATAAATCATGACTCAATGGCTGACACTAAAATGTTTATAGCACCGAGACAAAACGCAATCGTTAATATATATACTATTCCGTTACATTCTTTTATATACAACACACTTTGATCAATAAAATTCATTTTATTTGTCCCAAACGAAAATAAGAATGGGTTGGAAACAAAACCTAATCCAAGATAAGTTGAAACAAAATGGTACAGAAGTCAAATTACACAAATTTTTGTTGAAAGAATAATAGGAAGAACTTCTAGTTCCTTTCGAATTGGCCCATTTACCTTATTAGGATTTATCTCACAACGACAATAATGATATTATTTTTTTGAAAATGAAATTGCTCAACAATAACAAAAGTCAATTTATACCTTAACTCAGTTGGTCAATCATAAAACGATGTAGAACAGGGAAAAAATATGCTTTATTTTAAGATATTATGTCTTATGCCGGGTATAAAGAGAAAAAATTGACAAGATAAAAATCAAAGGAATTATCACAAAGTTCAGTTATCCTCTTAAAAACTTTATTAAATCCAAGATTAATTTTATACTACTCAGATAAATAATGCGTGTTGTGTTATTTCGAGTTTTTACTCACTTGGATTTTGTTGAAGTGCTGACAAAATTTCACCATGTTTTGTTTTAACTTGACTTATTTCTATGCGAGTCTTTTCAATTTCTCTTCGAATCCATTCAACCTAAAAAGAAATTTTGATTTTATACGATTACATTAACATAGATAGTTGAAATACTTCACTAAAGAAAAGATCCATTTGAGAACCACCATCTACTACGACGGCTTCTTCTGATGATGGAAGATTTGGTAGTTCGTTATTCTATTCATAAAAATTATTGTTCAATAATGAATTGTTTTACCTGTCGTAGGACTGCGAATAAATCTTTGGCCATTGTTTACCGTACTAATTAACACTTGCATACAAAGACAGTAGTAGTTGTAGAAGTAGAATTAGCTTAAAAATGAATGAATTCCTGTCATAGAAAATGAATCTAAAAAAGTGAAAGAAAACATGAAATCTTTAAGGCTTTGGTGTAGTATGTAAAAAACCAATAGCAAACAACAAATAGCTAGTCACAATGTGTCAAGTAGTAACAGACACCAAAACTGTAAATTAATATACCATACTATGAAACCCTAATTGTACGCATGACCTGAAATATTTCTTAGTTGAGATATATTTTCAAAGTTTAATTTACGGACAAATCTAAGCTAGACCATCTTTGAAAACCTGGAGGTACTGGACGGTCGTTTCGTTCTAGTATGGGACTTCTCAGCAGTGCGTATCCACGATTCTACACGAAGGACTCGAACCCGTAACATTCAGTCTACCGCTCAGACGCTTAACCTCTAGACCACTGAGCCTGGATCAAACAGCGTTAATGTCTAACTTCAATCGATCCATGATAAATTTATTTATTTTATTGTTCATTCAAACACAAACATTGGTACAAGGATGCACCATACATATATCCGCCACACAAATTAATTGACTTGTGTGAGGGCTGTAATACTGTCCAAGCACCCAAACCGAGACAGATGGCTTTCTTAGGGGGCCACTCCTCGAGCCTTTGACCTGAAGATCTATTCCACAAAATAGTGAGGCGACGTTAGGAGATACGGTCTCACGATAGCCGGTAGCCAACAATAGGTTCATACGCCATTTGTTTCCCTAGGATCCTGGAGTCAATGTTCACCATTGGTTTGGAATCAAGGTTTTCCAACTCACCAACTCGGTTGAAGCGCCAGACATTCGCTTTTCGTCCCCTCGATTTTGTTAGCAACAGTTATGCCGTGAGAAGGCAGTGAATAGGATTTTCCTGGTAATGATTGTATGCACATGGCCACGTGAGAGCACTTAGAGAGGGAGAAATGACTCCCCCACTCTCTGCCGTACCAGCGCATTTGGAGGCAGAAGCAGACACGCTGTTTCTTGAGATCACAACTAACTTGTATGAAGTATAAAGGCGAGACTATAATTTATGAACGAACCAATCAGGTATAAGATGACAGGTCTCGGATTTCGGTGCGAAATTCAGCCACCTATTTGGCTATATAGAGTCTTGGCGTTATATCTGATGTCAGTTCGTGATGAAAACTCTAAATCTAATTCGTAACCATTAACTGTAAACCATAATTTTAATTCCTCACACCGGTTTATAACCTCCATTTAATCTTAGTTGTTAGGTGCACACTTTCAAGGTCACTTTTACGCCGTTCAAGGGTCGTCCATAAATTATAGTCTCACCAATATAATTCTTGGAATCCTCTCACTGTGATGTGTTACTAGGTCCACCAGTACTTTAGGAATCTTATACAAAAGCGTGTAGAATTAGTGCATATAGCACCGCTCTGTATAATGTCCCAAATTAACAATTTTGTCTCCCCTTATATTTCATGTGAATTATGTTATGGAGACAACTTTAAAGGAAGTACACAATTTTTGTTTGCATCCATTACCTGAGGGATTATATTTTTCGGTTTTTGGACACACATACGATGTTAGATGTATAACGACAGCAACTACTCAAATCCCACCTCATTAGCATATGTATGATGTCACTTCGTCCCATCAAAGTGCAAAGTACTCAGCAAAGTTTGCATAATCCTATGCTCACACCCAAGCTTGCTAACAAACAAGGATTATTTGATAGGACATTTGTTTCCACAATTTTGTTACCAGGCTATGCAGTCATAAATAAATTATTATTATATTATGGATTTTATTTGTATTTATTCGGTACCCCCTTGTACCAATATTTATGTGTTCAAATAAATAAATAAATAACAGCTATCACTACCATCTTACTATTAGTTGGAGCCCAGGGACATAGAACTCAAAATATTTAGTCTGGTCGTAGGTCTAGCTGTGAATTTAATCAAGTTTGTTAATAAAAAATATCCACTTAACCTTTCATGTAATGTTTTAGGTGAGTTATTTGTTGTATTTCGTGGTTACTGACTCCGAGTAGGTCATCAGCATATGGATATACGATAAATAAACCGTGTGAAACTTAGTCGATTAAACGTCTGATGATGTGTAAGCTATTAAGTACTACCCATTGCCAGACTTTAAAACTATACTGTTGTTGGGACTGGTGAACTTTTCCCGCGCTTCATTCCTAGCTGCTCTGTTATACTACAACCGCTAACTGACTATTACGAGGTCTCTCATGCCCATTACACCTGTTAACAAAAGCTATTCAACTATTTGAAAACATTAAAAACGCAATAAACTGACGCCAGTAGTTCGAAAAAATGGTGAAGCAATTTCGACAATCACGACTAATGCTTCTACTGTTTTCACTAAAGCAGTACTGCTACAACATGTGAATAAAGACTGGAAACCACTTGTACTCAAACAAGATATAATACCTTTAGAGGACAACTTTTGGCTAATAACCTAGTAATCAATAATTTTCATTACGATGTTTATTGACCATAAGACCTTAATCAAACCTTTGTTAAGAAATACTAATTGATATGGTCTACCCGAAGTACATCAACCAGAATTCATCTCATAACTCACATCCTATATCCATTTCGTAAAATGTGCTAAAATGGAAGTAGCAGACGCTAATGTGTACAGAGAAACAAAGGAAGCCATGACAGAGCGGAAACTATTTCTGGAAACGGTTTTTTTTAAATACTGACAGTTTTTCCCCTACTTTATTCTATAAATCATAAGCTTTCATTTGATTTATGACTCACTGCCATACCCTTTTCTATAATTGTAATTTAAACGTAACCTTTTGTCCTCCATTTTTCTGCCCAGTTTGAACATTACTGTATTTTTATAATTGTTTGTTCGTTTTGGTCATGTTAGTCATCTGTTTACTCATGTATCTTTTTACACTAATCTGGATTGGAAATCGGAAATAAATCGAGTATTGTTCCAATTGACTCGTCTTCTTTCTCGCTTGTCAAGTTTTCATATCTCCCTAAGGCCGCTAGTCTCAATTCAGGCCCACACAATTCTAGCCTCAAAGTTAAACCAATCAAGGTCTTAGCATAAATCGAGACAAGTTTTCTCCCGTATATTATTGGGTAGACAGATCAATGGCGTAACAGACTCCTTATGGAGGATAGCAATAAACACCCTCACTTCAGCTAAGGTGAAAGGTCGGATCTACAACGCGTCGGTGAGAGCAGTTCTGCTCTATGCTTGCGAAACCTGGTCTCTCCGAGTTGAGGACGTTAGACGACTCTCTGTGTTCGATCATCGCTGTCTCCGAAGGATTGCTGACATTCAGTGGCAACACCATGTCAGTAATGCAGAGGTTCGGCATCGTGTGTTCGGGCACAGAGATGATAATTCAATTGGTGTCACCATCTTGAAACACCGACTTCGGTGGCTTGGACATGTTCTCCGAATGTCGTCCCAGAGGATTCCACGTCGTGCATTATTTGCCGACTCTGGGACTGGTTGGAAGAAGCGGAGAGGTGGTCAGTATATGACATGGTGTCGTGGTATGAAAGAAAGCTGCAAAGGACTGGCTTGTGTTGGTCCTTCACGACTCCCTGGTTGGGGTCCGCGAGATGGTGCTACACAGTGGCTAGAGACGTTATCAGATATGGCTCAGAATAGAAGCCAATGGCGATCCTGCTGTAACCTTCTTTTACTTTCTTCATAAAAAGTGGTTGTGTCTTCCTTACCTGAAAGATTTCTTCCGATTGTACCTTTTCGTTCCGTCGTTACTACCACACTACCTTACTCCAATCTCTTCGTCATTGTTCTCTTTTTCTTTTGCGTTCCTTAGCTGTTTTTTTTTTTCTCTTTCTACTTCTCTTCGAATTCCCATTGTTTTGTGTGGCGCATATATATTGGCGCTCTCTTGTACCAATATTTATGTGTTCAAATAAAATAATAAAAATAAATACTTCAGCTAAGATCGATTACGACAAATTACCAGTGTTACAACCGGCTGAAAACGAGCTATCTAAACTCCGACAATTCTGACCGAATTCCCTAATTTTTGACGAGGCACATTTCAATAATGTTGAGATAATATGCAACATCTTGACATGTCGGTTATACTCAATCTATTGCATTTCTATATTTTAAATTATTAAGATTTTCAAGAAACTATATGATGTATGACTGATACTCATCTAAATCTATCTACGGGCTTCTGACATAACGCAGACACTGGCAGTTGCCCGAACTAACCAGACTCATTGTTTGAAAAATTCATTTCGTAAATTTTAACTACTTGTCTAAGTAGCAAGAACTGGGGAAATTAATGTGTAATGATCGGTATAATAAGCTAACTAAATATATTGCCGAAAAGTTAAACATTTTACCTCTCTACTCAGGATTTGAACGAATAACTTTATTGGGAAATGTATCATGCCCTTAAATGCTCTGATACGGTCGAGAGTGGGGGGGGGGCATAGCATAAAACCACTGCTAGGAAAGTCCTATTCACTGCCTTCTCACGGCATAACTGTTGCTAACAAAATCGAGGGGACGAAAAGCGAATGTCTGGCGCTTCAACCGAGTTGGTGAGTTGGAAAACCTTGATTCCAAACCAATGGTGAACATTGACTCCAGGATCCTAGGGAAACAAATGGCGTATGAACCTATTGTTGGCTACCGGCTATCGTGAGACCGTATCTCCTAACGTCGCCTCACTATTTTGTGGAATAGATCTTCAGGTCAAAGGCTCGAGGAGTGGCCCCCTAAGAAAGCCATCTGTCTCGGTTTGGGTGCTTGGACAGTATTACAGCCCTCACACAAGTCAATTAATTTGTGTGGCGGATATATGTATGGTGCATCATTGTACCACTGTTTATGTGTTGAAATAAGAAACAAATATAAATAGAACGATGGGAACAATTTCACACACATAGAGACCGCCCTTCCAAAAAATGGTAAATCCGGCAATAAACT